ATTATTATTATATAATAATTGTGATGATGTTTAAACTTTTATGAGAGGTTGACTGTCAAATGTTGTCTGCATGAGTAACCCAGTCTATCCTATTTCAGCAGCCTATAGCAATCAGCAACGAGCAACGAACAAGCAACGAGCGAGGAATCGAACTCGCAATCATCGGAAGTAAAGCGGTGTACTAAACCGTTAGACTACCGAGGTCGTCAAACCAAAGATCCAATGGTCATTTCACTTATCAGCCTGTAACAAATATACAGATATTTTGACTTGATTTGCGCGAAAGCAAATATGCGCGTTGGCAAAATGTGGTTAAATACCATTAACCACGTTATTTTTCACAAAGATATATATCCATAGACGGTTGAAACGTGTGTTGTGAGTCGAAACGAAGATTAACATATACTATCTAGAGGCATTGGACGAGAGGAGAATTCATCTGATTTCGTCTGAAAATGTACTCAATTCACGTCTCTATTCAATCCCGAAGTCAGACAGGAAATGTCTTAGGCATACGATTGTATAAAGCTGTAAAATAGAGTAAAATTTAGTCAATGAAGTGGCATTGTTACTATTGTATTAGTAGAATTATAAATATTTAATTATTAATAATCTATACATATACATTTTCGTTTTTTACTAACGTTTTTTACTATACGTATATTAATATAAATACGGTACATACACCAAAATAAAATTTTTTTACAATTATATAAAAGTCTGAGTTACTCCTTATTACATAATAACCTGGCAAAAAAAGTCCCATCAGACAAACAAACAGACAGACAGACAAAAATTGTTAAAAATGTTATTTTGGTGTATGTACCGTATTTATATTCATATGCATGTAGTTAAACACGTTTATTTCAATATTACAAACAGACACTCCAATTTTATTTATATGTATAGATGTACTATAGAAATTGTGAGACTCAGAACTCCTAACGAAGTCTTTGAATAGTTCAACTAGTAGTAATAATTTATTTCACTTATAGTACTTATAATAATTGTATTAATTACTAGCTGTCCCGGCAAACGTTGTTGTTGTGGACTACCCCTAACATTAAAGGGGATGAAAAAGAGATGTTGGCCAATTCTCAGACCTACTCAATACGCTCATAAAATTTCATGAGAATCGGTCAAGCCGTTTCGGAGGAGTATGGGAACGAAAACTGTGACCCGAGAATTTTATATATAAGATATAAATATATGACAGTTATATATGTATATGACATATATAACATCATTAACGCTGTAATGCAAAATAATTCTTACTAATATTTGATGCGAAAGTGTGTGTGTTTGTTTGTTACTAACAGGCAGAATGGGTGTTTAATTTGACACAAAAATGGATTTTTTCATTAAATGCGTATCAGAGTACATATATACTGTAGAGATGCTTATATAAAAGATTTTATTTCAAATTCAAATTAAATTCAAAAATCATTTATTCATGTAGGACATTTTAGCCGCTTATGAACGTCAAATTTTTACATTATAATTTTATTTTTTTCCCTACCGTCCAGTTCGGTATATAGATCCAATTGAGAAGAACTGGCAAGAAACTCAATTGAATTACTTTTTTTTTTTAAAGCCAGTTTATTTACAATGTATATTTATATAGGTGTCTATATCTAACATTAAATGAAAATTCAGTGCATGAACAACTATTGCCATGCACACTCGTCATTCAAGTAATCGTTTAGTGAGTAATAGGCTTTGCTCAGTAAATATGATTTAACAGATGTTTTGAATTTATTTAAGGGTAATTCCAACATATCCTTTGGTATCTTATTGTAAATTTTTATACCTATTCCCATAAAAGACCTATTAACTTTTTCTAAACGATACTTGGGGACAGCAAGTTTGTCTTTAAATCTTGTATTAATATTATGAATATTGCTGTTTTTTGGAAATAAGTCAAGATTTTTATGAACATATAGGATATTTGAATATATAAATTGAGAAGCAACGGTGAGAATATTTGCCTCTTTGAATTTCTCTCTTAATGAGTCACGACTCTTCATACAGTAGATCGCTCGAACGGCACGTTTTTGTAATATGAATATATTTTTAATATCTGCCGCTTTTCCCCATAGTAATATTCCATAAGAGAGTAAACTATGAAAATAACTAAAATAGACTAATCTAGCAGTATCAGTATCAGTGTACTGTCTAACCTTACGCACGGCAAAAGCTGCTGAACTTAGTTTCGCTGCAAGGCTTTGAATTTGTGCACCCCATTGTGTTTTATTATCTAGTGTGATTCCTAGAAAGACAGTAGATTCTATAAATTCGAGAGATTCGTCATTTAATTTAATATTGCAATTAGTATTAAAACTTTTAGACAGAGAGAAATTAACACATTTTGTTTTTTTAGCGTTTAACATAAGATTGTTAGTTGTAAACCAGTGCAGGAGACGCCGCAAAGCACTATTTACATCGTCATAATTATTAGTCATTCTATTAACTTTAAAAATCAATGAAGTATCGTCTGCAAATAATACTATGCCGCATCTATCCTGCATGGTATATGGGAGATCATTAATGTAAACTAGGAATAAAAATGGACCGAGAATAGATCCTTGAGGTACACCCATTTGCACAAGTGACCCATCAGACGTAGCGTTGCTAACCTTCACTTTCTGTATTCTATCAGATAGATAAGATTTTATTAAATTTAAAGCATTGTCTTTGACGCCATAAAAAGCAAGTTTTTTTAGCAATGTATTATGATCAACGCAATCAAAAGCCTTAGAAAGGTCACAAAAAACACCTATCGCATCCATTTTAGTTTCCCATGCAGCAAATACGTGTCTAAGCAACTCTGCACCTGCGTCTGTAGTTGAACGACCGAAAAACCGAACGTTGGAAAAACCGAATTGACTATTGTGGATTAAATTATTTAAATTGAAATAACTGACAAGCTGCATAAGGATTATTTTTTCAAAAATTTTACTGAGTGCTGGGAGTATAGATATAGGTCTATAATTTATTGGGTCACTCCTATCTCCAGATTTAAAAAGCGGTATGATTTTACTAATTTTCATTATGTTAGGAAATTTACCTTCATCTATACATTTATTGAAAATAAAAGCAAGAGAGGGCGCAATAATTTCCATTATACTATCCAGTATTTTAATAGATATACCCCATAGATCCTCTGTTTTTTTATTATTAAGCTGTTTGAATATTTTCATTATTTCTACTGATGATGTATGTCTAAAGTGTGTGACTTGCTAACATTGTCTGTTAGTAAAGTTTCAGCAGCAGACGGGGAAGATTTTAGAGCCTGTGTCGTAATTAATGGAATATTAGTGAAATAAGATTCGAATGTATCCGCGACCTCTGTGTCGGAATTTACCAATTTGTTATTAATATTTAAAGCTATTTTGCTATTTTGAAAATTAACTTTTCCAGTTTCGCTATTTATTACTTTCCAAGTGGCTTTTATTTTATCTTTAGATTTAGTTATTATTTTACCTAAATAGAGAGACTTAATGACAAACCTTTTTAAATATTTTCGAATAAGATTTTACATGTTCATGAAATAAGGGATCGGATATATAGCTTCGTTTTTCGTAAAGTTCGTAAAGATTAGCCCTAGACTTATAAATACCAAACGTGGCCCAGTCACAAAACTTTGATTTTACACTAGTTGAAAAGGTTTTTGTTTTAAATTCACTGCTAGCTTCATGTTCATGTATTTAAAAAATGTCTGTATGTCTGTCTATATGTATGTTCTTGCTAATCTCTAAAATGGCCCAGCGGTACAAGGCTAATTTTTGTTTTAGATTTTTTTTTAATAAACCTAAATCAAATAGAACGTGGATGAAGTAGCGGTTAGGAGGTTAGCTGGTCCTAAACAAACAAGTAATTGATGTTATTCTTTAAGGAAGAAATACAGATACAAAATTTTCAAATCAAAGCAAGAGCGCATACCTCCGTGATGACATCTGTGGAACTCCAACAAACGGGCGGAGTATTGATTGAGGCGGATTTTAAGAGACCCTCACATGAGGCCGCGGATATATTTTTAACTGTCTGTAAACAGGTTTTATATATATATACTGAACTAGACGGTGGAGAAAAAAATTGTATAAATGAATTTTGAATTCGCATTCAATTTGAATATGATACTAGTTATGCCGCCAATATTATTTTATTTTATTTCTTTGTCTTTTCTTCTCATCTCGAAATCATTCCGTACTGACGGTGGATTTGACAAATCATAAAAGTACATGAATAAAGATGCTATGATTTTTTTTAAATTTTGTACGCGTTGATCTTACAATAAAACGTATTATTTAATTCAACTTTCATATTTACAACCAAAATGAAGTAAACATAAAATGTTTCGAGAAATATAAAATTTTAAAACATAAACTTAAAACATAAATTTTGACTACAATATGTCAGTGTAAACCTCTTTTAAGTTGGTGAAACGGTTTTTGATTTTCTTGTCTATTGAAGCAAAAAATTCAAAAGCCACTATTTTTAACGTCGCTAACATTGTTCTGGGATAGCATTAACCAATACACTTATATCCAAATTACTAATACAATATATATACACTAGTATTTAGAGTTGATTTAATGTTTTCATTTTGTATCCATCTAATTGATGCATTATTGGATTAAAATATAAGATACAAATAAAAGCAATTTTCTGTCATCCTAATTAATGTTATAAACATAATTAATTATATTAATTTGTATATTTCTTACACGCCCGAGTTTTATAAAATAATAAATATATTATTTTCTTTCATTTCTATAAATGTAATAAAATTAATCGAAAATTCCATTTTCAAATTCCTATTCCTATTAAAAATATGCTCCCTATATTTACTCTTTAGAGCAACTCTTTCAAATATCGAAGAGTCAATTTGGTAAATCGAAAGTGATACACAGTCCAAACATCCCAGGGGCTGAAATACGAGCGATCAATCTTCAAAGCAGGTTCTTTGCAACTGCAGTAGTGTATAGTCCGTACTTCGCGCGAAACTCGCCCGCCGCACGGCATTTGAAGTCGCGCCACCGAAGCAGTAGCCCGGCCGATATATCACAGGTGGGTACGCCCCTTTATACGATATTTGTATTCTATTTTCAAAAATTTCCTTTTTTAAATTACCAAAGCATATTCTTTTTTTAAATATTTGGCCAGAAATAAAAGTTTTGTAAAGAGTTTCCATTTGTAATGCAAGGAACGTGTTACGAAGTTGGCAAGCTAAGTTGTTAAAGTTTCACTTAACTCTTGGAGAAAGAATAAGGAATTTTAAAAATAGAACCATTTTTTTTTATTAATATGTAATTGTTAATATGTAATTAATAATGTGGTATAAAGTTAATAAAATCAAGAATTTAACAATTATTCCAAATATATTTTAAAAGTAATCGATTTTTAAAAGTAATTAAGAATTGCGATAATCAATTACAATTTGAATAAATATATTACATTTATAATGTAGATACCTTTAAGATGTGCAATTAATTAAATAATTAATTAATTAAATTATTTTTTATTAAATTAAATTTACATTAAATAAAAGTGAAATGGTTATTATCTACGACATTCTTTTTTCAAAATCATTTGATTTCTTATTGCGTATATTCTTATTCACATAACAATTATTTGAATATGGAATTCTTACATGTTGCGTGTTGTTAAACGGTTGGTACGTACCATTCTTTTACCATAAAACAAACATTTGAACATACCCCATCGGGATTTATTCCACTTTGTTCATATGTACGTCAGTTCTAATAGCTAATATTTGTATGGTAATCTGTTACATAATAGAGGAGTTACGATAGGGTTCAACAATTATATTTCGCTATCATAAATATAATTTATTTCTTTAATTATACATTTATTAATTTTACTGCAATTGAACTTCGTTTTTTTTTAAGACTAGTTTTTTGTGCGACTTTGTTCGGTATTAAATAAATTAATACACCCTAAAAAGATCAAACTGTTTTTAATAAGCCGGTGAAGTAGATAAACATTTAAGATTGATTTTTTTTAAAGGAATAATGTGGAGTGGCGCATCCGTGTGCTGTCTAGTGGAAGATAATAGATTTGAAAAGATTGAAATTCAACTGGTCATTTAACTACGGTAGTTTTCAGGGGAGACCACGTTAAAGTCGACCCGATATAGTATACTAGGCATGGAGTCACTAGTTTACTGAGAATCTAACGCCTCTTCCTTTAAGGTCGATTGAAAAAAAAATGCGTCTTAAAGCGCATACTCTTAATCATAATTAATAGAGGGAAGGGAACTATTAGGAATGATATTAAGTGGTTCCATCGATCGAAATGTGTCCTAACCCGTCGACCTCCACGCGGTCCTAGAAACCATCATAGTAATATCCAGCTCAATTCGCTGAAATTACCTAACTGACCTGATTTCTTAATCATCCTTTATCTTCTACTGGACTTCGCCAGTCTTCGCCAGTGTAAACCGTTAGTGTATGCAGGTGCGCCATTCTATTATCTTTTATAAAAAAACGTATCAAATATATTGTAAACAGATAAACAAAAAACCTACAAGCAGACAAGTAAAACATCAACTTTATTTCATATAGATAGATAAAAAAGAAATTGGTAGGTTCTTTTCCTTATTTTAGAATCTAAGTACAATAGAAATACGCAATCACGATTGATTACATTACGAATGTTCAGGAGTCTTTGGACGACCTTCGAATAAACAATCATAATAGAAGACAACAAAAGATTACAATTCTAATAAAATAACTTTTCCCTCCGAAATTGTTAATAAAACCAAATATTTCCTTTATAGTATAACCACAGTCAGTCTTAACGTATGATTTTAATTTTTTGTACAATTTTTAAATAATTTAAATTTTATTCAGATATTGATTTTAAATTGTTTAATAAATTATTACCTTTACCATTTGAAATTTGAAAATAGAACCTATCATTACGGGAATACAAATTAAATTGTTGACAGGAATAGTTAAAAATAAATCTCACACAATCCTTTAGGTGTTATAATGACTCTTGTTTAAATATCTAAATGAAAAATTAATTACATTATTTACATTAAATTTAAATATCGAACCGAATAATTTATTTGTTCGATTATTAAATTGTAATATTTTTTTAAGAATATACATATGTACATTCTTATTAAATACGATTCGTTATTCAAATTTATAAAATACGAAATAATTACATATTTATATCGTATTTTATAAATTTGAACATCGAATCGTTGATATATAAATTATACGTCCAAACGAATAATTTATTTGACATCTAAGTAAAGAGGATATTACGTAAGATTATTATTAATATAGTAATCCAAGTTATATAACGTTTGTGGTCTGTGTTCGCTTGAATTTGAATTGACCTGGAATTGTTTGGTGGAAGTTTGGGCGTGGCTACATGAGGGCTGGGCCGGGTTGCTGTTTGCATACCTACACTGTTGTACTTTTGTTATATTGTAGACTAGCTGTGCCTGCGGTTTCACTCACATGACGTTTATCGCCTATGCAATATTCTGATGTATAACCTATATTGCTGTAAAGTTTCATAAAATCCGGTCAATACCTTTTGGGTGACAGAGTAACAAAGATCCATCCATCTATCCCTTCATATTCACAAACTTTCGCATATAATAGATATTTTTGTGTATCGTAATTTTTGAATTATTATTTATCAATCTTAGCGTTTTGAATAATTTCTCACTACGAAGAAGCTTAACTTAATGGCGCCAGGCCATTATATTTGTTTATCGCATCAAACGTAATTTGTTTGTTCTGATTTGAATGAAGAGACATCCTTGACCTAATTTCTTACAAGATTCAGCCTTATTCAGTAGTACCTCAAGTAATACACACATAAACAAAATTAATATAACATTAGCATTCTATAATAATTGTCTGGTCTAGAGGTTAATTACCCTAATTTACGCCCATGGCTCTGAATACAAACCTGACCAACAAAAAAACGTTGTTTGGCTATTTATATTTCTGATTAAGTTTCCGGTGAAGGAAACATGGATAAAAATGAATCCGATAGACAACGATGGGCTCAACCCCTGCCACGTTTGGATTCAAAATATACCGAACGAAATGTGGACATGTCAAGTGTTGGATTCATCAGAATTTCGACAGTTTACGATACCTTAATTGACGATATGTTTGTGTCTATTAAAATTACGTTATTTAATATATTTATGTAGTATAAAACAAATTCGCCGACGTTGTCTGTTCGCTTATATCTTTTAAATTACATAACGTATTTTAACGTAGTTTCCAGCAATATATACTGTGTTTCAAGACGAAGGTTTATATGCATAATACATGCGTATTATAGTATAGCTTATATAATAAGCTAAAAATTTCAAAGTTTTATAATGCATCTGTTTGAAGCCGGGACGGCTCGATAGTGTGATATAAATAACTCTGTAACTACTAGTAATACGGTTCACATTGCATTTAGTTTGATAATGTAAAGAATTTCAACATTAATTCAAATATCTACATCATATAAATTCGAATTTAAATCAAGATTCGAATTAACAAAGAAATTGTAAAAGCAATTCTACGTTTTAATTTTTGCGATCGTAAATTATTTCTTTATTCTTTAGTGGCCTGTAATTTCAATTATCCACATGTTATTTCTTTGTTATTGACGATGTCTTTCACAGATATACAATTTATTTACATTTCTGTATTGTTATTTACGTTTCCAAAACATTTGAATTTAGAATCACATTATATGTAGTTAGAATTTTATTTCGCAAAATATTCTTGCTGTATGCGTAAAATATGCTTGCAGATCTATAAGAATTAACCTGACTACAATATTTAAAAAAAAAACAACATTGTTAACTATTTTTGTGTCATTTTCAAATATAGAACATCTTTCTTTTTGCATCAGTAATCTTACCTCCGATCTATCCCCCATCCAATTCAAACGGGGATCGATATTACGACGGCCTGTGCCGAGGTTCGAACCCCTAGTGGTGCCCTCAGACTAAAGTCGTATCCCTCAGGCAGGAGCTGGCCTTCAGCTGCTCCATAAGTCCTTCCGCGGGTTTGGAGTACCATCTACACTCGCCCCCTTGTTTATTCTTCACGCAAAAACTATTGAATGAATTTTGATAAAAGTTTACAGTAATGTAGATTATACGTCGGAATAACATATACGCTATAAATTTCATGCGTTTGAAACCGCGGGCACTGTTACTATGTAATTAAATATGTCACATACACAGTACCCAAACTAAGCTGAGATGGCACTTTTGGTACGCTTTTACGTCAAGATTTTTAAGACTGAAAAACATATTAAAGGACATTTATAATGAGAAATGTATATACAATATACATCGATATACTACATAAATGGATATATTTGTACAGGAATTGAACACGATACGTGTTTAACGGATCCAATAAAATAATACCACTTCCTTTTATCCACTAGTGTTTAATATTAAGTGATTTACAAAATAAAAAATGAATTATTAATACGCTATGTTATGGTTGCAAACTTTTTCAAATTTCGTTATAATAATTTTCAAATTTCGAACTTCGAATCATTACATAAATAAAAAGTAAAATATACTTAAATGGCCAAGAAGGTTTTATATTCATACTTAATCAATATGAATGAAGAGTAATTATTATACATTACTAATATCTAATAATTAAATTAATTCAAAAGTTTATTAATATAAAATAATAATAATAATATAAAATAATAGTAATAATTTACAACATATAAACTTTTGAATTAATTTAATCTCGTTTAAATCGTAGATCTGTCTAGATTCATTTAATCAATTAGTACAAATTGATACCAATGGAAGCTGTACAAACTCGGATGTTAATGAACGATCTCTTTGCTTGCAGGTGCATCAATCGAGTGCGGTGACTAACGAGTAAGTTGCATTCCTTCATTAAACCCAGCTTAATTTGAACTCTATGCAAATAAGAAGCGATTGGATCGTGTTTGAATTGATTTTCAAAATTGAATTAACAATGATTTTAGGTGCTCGTAGGTGAAATATCTTAAAGTATCATTTGGCGTTGAAGACTTTAATATTGGAGTTAATAAAGATTTTTTTTATATTGCTGGAATGTCAAACAAGATATTATATTATATTATATTATGTAATATAAATGGAAATAATAATTGTTTAAATAAACTGAATATAAGCACAAAAGTGTTCATCAAAGTAATATACAAAATAATGGTCATATTATATTAATTAATCATATTAATGGATAAATGTAGATCTGTTTTATAAATTATAAATTTGTAAAAATAAATTGTAATTTACATTGTGTAAATATTACATTACATATTTCACCTCGCTAAATTTATTATTTTTAAGCCCAAAAATGAAGTATATCGCTTGATCTTCCCAGTGGAATATTTAACTTTACATAATACTGAATTCAAGGTATATTCCCTTTTGAGCTATATTTATTTATTACATTGGGTCTAGCTATAACTTTATATTAAAAAGAAAAGTTACGTTATATGAGCACTAATTCAGAACTAACGTGAAGTTACGTCAGGCAGCTATTTATTAGATAGATAGATAGAATATACTTTATTTGTAACACACAGTAAGGAAAAAATTCAAACTCAAATTTTATTTTGGTAAATTCCGGGTCAAGTAGTCTTCTATCTGGACTAAACTAAAGGTTGTAAGTTCAAATCTGGCCGATAACGAAAAATAGTATAGTTATTTTTTTTCTGACTGAAACGTTATACTAATTCGAGAGACAGGGGTAGGATCGCCACTTTGAATTTTAATGATGGCCTTGATGGCCTCGGTGAACTAAAGGTTTAGTACCGATTCATTTCCGATGGTCGCGGCTTCAATACCTCGCACAGTACAAACATTTGTATTCATGAGTATGATATTTTGAATCGGTCTAGGTGTTATTATGTACATATGTTATGTTATGTATAACACACCGTTATACTGCGGGTTTAATTTATCGCACAGTACACACATTTGTAATTCCTTGTATCGGTCTGAGTGTTTTTATGTATATTATGTAAATATTTACAAAAAGATCTATGTTCGTAAATAGTCTATTAGTTGTCTAGTACCCATAACATAAACTCTATTTAGTTTGGGTGTAGAGGGCGCTGTGTGATGTATCCAGGGTTATTATTATTATGAAATATATCCATCAAAATGTCAGTTAATAATACCTTTGATTACCTCATTATTTTCATTTGTTAAACTACTAAAACTAAAAATAAATCTTTATTTTTGTAATCATAACAGCTCCTTTGAAAAAGAGTTGAGTTTCTTGTCAGCTCTCCTTAGCTCGAAAGCTCATAGATTTGACATATCATAAGAGTATGTAATAGACCTACGTGAATAAAGATATTTTGATTTGATTTAATTTTTCTACTTGGATACATCTATAAAAATACCAGCGAATGTAAAGAAAAGACATAAATAATATATTTAAGAGCACATGTATAGTTACAATAAGGCGGCCTTATTGCTGAAAGCAAACCTTTCAAGGCATCCTTAGGGAGACGGATTTAAATATCGAACATGTAGATAATATGGAAACAGGAGAAAAGTACATACAAAACATAAAATAAGTAGAAACACGATAGGCAATGAATAAAAATGCTTTAGTGTAAAAAATACAGAAAAATCATTACGTGACACATATAGTATTCGTTTTTCAATTGATCGAACCGTATTAATAATGGATTCCTATACAGTTTAGTAATACGCAGTTTCGGTTTAATTGTTAATTTTTAAGGAGTTGTAACAATTTTGTACCTTATACGTTTATAAATTACGTTAGGTTATTGAATAAATGGATGTAGTTTAGTATCCTTAAACTTATAAACTGACAATCTTGATAACTTTATGTCAATTTGAACAGTCTTTGTGGTGTAGCGACTTAGCATATCATACCTCCGATAGTCGCGAGTTCGATTCTTCGCAGGGTACGAATACTTACACTGAAGCACTTTTGAATAGTCATAACATTTTTTTTTCAATGTACCGCTCATTCGGAAAGGTGTCTTTTTAGTTGTAATGAAGTTATGAAGAAAATAAAGCAAAAAACTTGCGTGTTACTCTTTTAAATAATTTTGTTGTTACTTTACATTTTTAAATTGAAGTGTGTGAATATAAACTACCAACTAGCATTATTTCAATTAAATACTCAAATAGAGAAAATATTAAATATACAACCAACTGGTTGAGTAACTAAGAGTAAATCAGTCATGATTAGAGCAGACCAGTCCTTACAAGCAGCACTCGTTCACGAGTATGACGGTTGAGCCAGTCAACACTGCGCTCGATCATATTTTAGGGAGCCCAATAGCCCCGCCCAGTAGGGTTAGTAAGACAGTAGTTGTAATGTGGTTCACATATCGAATATTCAGCAACAAGGTACATGTTGAACTAGACTCGTTAATCGACTCCTTGCAAGCTTTATGAAGCCACTCTACGATGCTTTAGCTTCCACTAATGGAAGAACCCATTGAATTACGAATCTGCTCCAATGGTGACTTGGTTCTTATTTAATTATGCTACGTAAAGAAACAAATTCGAAGAATACTTGCAAAATGTTGATTAGTATAATATTTAAAACGTCCGCCTCTCTTCCACCGTGCAGTGCCAAAAGGTACATGATATGTGTATGAATTATTTCGTTAATATACCATAATTGTGTAAAGCAACGTAAATAAATAACTAAAGAAATTTGTTCAAATCCACTTAACATAATCGTTTCTACAGCATGTTCACTGGTCCAGAACTTTTGCTAAGCTCAGCTCACCTGTGCATCTTTTCAGATAAAACGGAACTTTTGCTGCGACTTACCTACTTTTATTTTGTAACTGAATGTAGATTTTACGTTTGTTCATCCATCTAATCCCAAGCTTTGCAGAGCCGTTACAAACAATCATATTCACAAATACAAATGTTCTTGTCCTGCGAGGAATCGAACCCGCGACTATCTGATGTAAGACAGTATGCTTAACCGCTAGACCAGCGAGTCCTTCATACAAACATACGTCTAGGCACAATAATACAAGTAGATTATATTCTTGTAAATTATATATACCTAGATAGTATTACTTTAGCGCGTCTACCTTCATTTAAGATGCCTATAAGACTAACTTAACGTGGGCTTGGCAGAATACTAAAACTTCCAGAGCCGATAAACCGAATTAGAAAATAAATTATTGACAGTTAATTGAATGGAATTTATTTAGGTTTTGGTATTCCGCTGTAGATTACATTATATACAGCGTTCAGGATTAGTGGTTGGCAATCCTAGAACCTTCTATATTATTGCTATTTTCTGATGAATTATCTTACATAATCAATTATGTAAGATAATTGAAATAGTTCACTTCATTGAAATTACTTCACTTTCTTATACAATGAATATTAACACGCATGAATCGAAACTAAATGGTGTAGAGTTAAAAATAATATTTATTATATTTAATTTTTATTGATCTGTTCAAATCTATACCTAATTTACTTAATGTTAAATGTATAACTTGTTGCAATATTCTATCGTTTTTAGAGACTTTTTTGCATTTACCGTTTTTTCCACTGGATAATTCACACAGCGCCATATGGTCTCAGGCCAGCACAACGTGCGTTATTTGTGATACTAGACAACTGATGTAAATACATACATATTATACTATAAAACACCCAGACCTATACAAACAATTATAATTATACATACATACCGTGCGAGACATCGAACCATACCATTCGAAAGCAAAGCGATGTTATAAACCGCTGGACCACTGAGGTTATTTTATAACGCAAGAAACAGCAAGATTTATAATTTGGGCCAATACTATTATATAAACAAAATTAAGTTACCTAATTTAAAAAAAATAAAAAAAACCTGGTAGCTTTTAATATTAAATTTGTACTAATTACGCTCCATTACATGCTCATTATACACACTTTCAAGTAAAACCGTAGTATAGCGAACTCTTTAATAGGTTTTTATATTATTTTTTAATTTTATAATCATATTTTTTCACATATTATTTTTGTAACATCTTACTAATATTATAAAAGCCAAAATTTGTGAGTATGGATGGATGTTTGTTACTTTTTCACGCAAAAACTACTAAACGGATTTTCATGAAACTTTACAGTAATATAGCTTATATATAAGAATAACACATCGGCTATAATTTTAAAAGATATTATGTAAATTGGCCGAAATATAATGATAAATGTCATGGGAAGTGTGATGCAGACGAAGTTACGCGGCTGTACTAGTTCTATTACATATCGCTGTCATATTAGTCGCATTTTCTTTTGACTTCGTATTTCTCCTCATAAGACCCTCAATAGCTCTCATTCATCAGACACATCAGCTTCACGTAGGTTCATCTATACATATATATAAAATTGAAGTGTCTGTTTGTAATATTGAAGTAACTGTTTTTTACTACATGCATATGAATATACGATACTCATATGCATGTAGTAAAAAACATGCATATGAATATACACCAAAATTACTTTTTTTACAAATTTGGTCTGCCTGTCTGTCCGATTTTGACAGGACTTTTCTTGGCAGGTAGCTGATGTAATAAGGAGTAACTTAGGCTCCTTTTATTTTTGAAAAATAAACTTAAATTCCACGAAGTCGCGAGTGCAGCTAATCTTAAATATTATTTTATGTCTCTCGGGTATAGAGTACATTTTTGAACGCCATGTGTACACTTGTATAAGACATTTCTATAAATTCTTAACGAGTTGCCAGTGCCAACGATTATCGACGTGGTCATATCAATAAACTAAGTTATATACGTGTGAACTCGAAGCGACGACACAACTGGCTCGTTTAGTTTCCGCCCGCCATATCTCCTAATGACTCTAGGAAAACCAACTTTCCACTT